TAACTGTTCCAGATAGATCAATTGATGTGCAGTGGTCAATGATAAGTCAAATGAAAGGTGCGGATGGCATGTTTAAGTATGAAAAATTGGGAAACATTGTATTGTCAATTCTTCTCATACCACATTCAAATTCAGAATGTGAGAGAATTTTTAGTTTGGTTAGAAAGAACCGTACTGAATCGCGAACAATTATGTCTAATAAAACTTTAGAAAGCCTGCTTATATTAAAAACCAAATTTTCTAAAATCTGTCACGAACAAGTGTTTGAAAAAGATTTTTTAATTAAAGCAAAGAAGGCTACTTCAGCTTCTTTAAATTCAGCATCCTCTTTTGCTGTTGATTTAGAGGAAAACCCTTAAAGAACTATTTTATTTTGCATATAGCATTTTTTTAAAAAGTAGCATCATTGTAATAGAATTTGAAATAATTGTAATAGAAATTGAGATGACAAATGGTTGGTTGATTAGATATTTCTGTACATTTTCTAACAAGTGCAATTAAAAAATTTAATGAAAATTTGGTTCTTACTTCATCAACATTCAATCATGTGATAGATTCTATAATTAATATATTTATTATTCATTTGTGGTGTATTGTTACTTATTAAATAATTCGAATAGTCTTAAATTTTTCGTAAAAAAAGTTTTACTGATGGCAGTTTTTTTAAGTTGGCAAGTATGTAGTTGATATCTGAGAAAATTTAAAAATAAATATTGCTGTTTCAATGTAATTAGCTTTTATTCTCTATTAATAACTTTATTACCTTTGTATATTTATTAAAATACGATATTAAAGTTGAGTTAGGTATCTGAAATATAAAATATAACAAATTCATAGTACTAGTGCAGTGTTTTCATTACAGAAAAAAAATGGGTGAGAATTTCTCACCCTTTCTCAAAAACAGGGTGAGATTTCAGAAAATTACGTAAGATTTCTAAAAAGAAAAAAAAATGAAAAGACTTGGGAAAAAAATATTTCTTTAATTATAATACATTTTTAACATCTTCTAATTTTTAAAGCATTAAATATTTTTGCTGCATCATCTTATGGAAAATGTTCTATATCTACTTTTTCATCAGCTATTCTCACTAGGTTGCTCAAATGCTTATCAGTCAATCTGTTACGATATTTTGTCTTAATCCGGTTTTGGGTGCTAAATGACCTTGCAACAGATGCTGAATTATCAATTATTTGTAGCATTGTGCATACACTTTCCTATCCTCTACATCAGCCAGCATTGGCTTTTAAGTTATTTCTGCTATAAAATCGGGAAGTACGTTGAAGTTCTTTCCAAGTTCATACTTCATGCTAGTATTTGAGCCATATCCGTTGAATATCCGTATTTGTTTCGTTTTTACCGTTTCTAACAACATTTGTTTCATTTGTCTTAACAATGTATTTGTCAATCTAACATTCAGGCACAAAAAATTTTAACGTTTTACATGAAGAAACCTTACTTACGGTGAACACGTGGTTGCAGAAAAATGTGTTCTGAAAGGGGTTCGGGGAGGGGGGGGTGTTATGGTTCTGAACAATACTGGTAAATAGGGAAGCTAGATAACAAGGACCGATATTGAAAATAATGAAAGATCAGGGAAGAAAAACGAAGCGGATTTCATTCAAAATGGCGGAAGACTAAATTTTTTCCAAAATTTGCGAGATTCAGGCATTTTTAAATTCATTAATAGGGTGTGCGAACTTCTCGCGTTACTAACTTTTTAATGCGAGGAAAGAAAAAAATATGCAAGATTCTCGCGCTGTAGTGAAAACACTGTAGTGTACATGTATTTGTACATTTATAGTACTAGTGTACATCATAGTACTTAGTTGCATCATAGTACTTTAGTTAAAAAAGTAACATGAATGCTACTTTTTTTGAGAAGCCTTTAAGTTTTTTTTATTGTATGGCAGTATTGATGTTGTGTTATCTAATTTAGTCAACATTCAGTGTCTTATAATTGGATTTTTCTTTTAGACTATGTTTATAAATATATATTTGTAATTGTTGGAGTATTTTCTTTTGACCATGGAAGTTGAAAATTGCAGATAAAATATTTTCTCTTAATAAAAATTAAAATTTAGAATTAACTGATTGAAAATATGATATGAAAGTATAGTTAATTTATTGATGTTTAAATAATTAATCGACGCTTGCTCATTGGCTAAAAGAAGTTTTTGGATGTATGATAGAAATTTCATTTGTTTTTTTACTACTCTCAAACAATCAAAAAAAGTATACAAAAATCTGTTTTGATACAGTTATTGAGCAAAAACAATCTAGGGTTGGTGAGCAGGCGACTTAAACTAGTGGGTGTAGCGACTAAAACTAGTGGGCGCATCCCCCTAGTTTTAAAATTATCTCTTTATTTATAAATAAGTAATTATGTGGGGTTATTAATCAATCTATTTTGTTTAGACTTGGCATATTTTAGCTTTATTTTTAATAACATTATTCTTGCCTAATATATTAATGTCTCTCACTCAATGGATTCAAAAAATCTTCTCTGGTTTATAGTTAAGTCTTCAGAGTAAATTATTATCTAAAATTTATCTTTATTAGAAAGTGATACTTAAAATGTCTTTTATATCTTTTTTTTTTATTTTCTGCAGTTTTATGGATACCTTTCACAGCAACAGAATATGATGCAAGATTATATTAGAACATCAACTTATCAACGAGCTATTTTAGCAAATATTGACGATTTCAAAGATAAAGTAAGTATATTTAACTTATCATTTCCTAAACATTAATCACGTATTTTCAAAACAAGAAGAGTACTCTTCTTTTTTTCAGGTGTCCAACCTTCTCCCCCCCCCCCCAAATATTTTTTTCATAAAAAAATATTTTCTCCTTTAAAATTTAAATTTTCTTAATCTTGTTTTGAAAATTTAGTTGTTAAAAATAAATTGAACATATTTATTTAGATTTTCAAAGGTGAGCCAAATTTTTTTTCTCCCAATTTACCATAACAAGCATTGATTCCTTACCTGAATGTTGGGCTACTCAAGTACGCAATTGCTAAAATTTTTACATTGTTGGCAGTTGCTTCTAAACTGTATCTAGCGTATGTGGCAATTACTGGTGACTATTTGAGACTAAAATTGATGCAACCACGATTTCTGTTTTTACAAAAGTATTTAAATAAAATCAGCCAAAAAGAAACTTTTTAGATGATTGGCAATGAAATTTATTCCACAATTAAAACAATATTGTTATCAAAAATCTAATGACTGATTTTATATAAAAATGTTGAAATTTGTTAAATTATGTAGGATTGGAGGAAATATATATCAATGATAGTAAAGGACGCACAGATGTGGTTTAATAGTACGATTTAAGTGCCTCTAAAAGTGATAACTCTTATTTGGAATTCACTGGTCATAATAACATTGAAGATTTTTTTTAAAAATGTCGGACACTTGGGGTCTATTTCTCATTGGCCTCAGAAATACCAGAATTGATACGCTCTTATTGTTACCCAGTGGGCACCCAGCGTCACCCATGTCGTACAACCACAAAACCCGTTTATAGGGCAGGATTACAATCACACAGAAGAAAGGACATAGAACAGAGAGATAGAAAGTTACAGACATGCCTCTGTGAGATTCGAACCTTCAACCACTGGCCCTGTAATCCAGTACTGTAACCACTAGACCAGTGATAGGCCACATTAAAGATATCAGGAAATTGATTCTTTCTCGAACACCGTTGATTCGCAGATTCCCGCAGAACAATTGAAATTCAGACAAAGTTTTTTTTGAATTCGCTAATCTAAAACATGATGCGTAGCGTTTTTTAAGATGCTTATTTTCGTTATTTAAAAGCTTTTTTAATTGGGTGTTTTTAAAAAGTGCTTAATTTTCCCTCTTCAGAAATGAGATTTTTTTCGCTACCATGTCGACTTTTGCCATGTATTATGCAAAAGCGTGCTTTTCACATTGTTCTATTCAATATTTTCACAATTCATTTCGGCGTACCGTCGGTCCATAGCGAATGAAAGTGCCAATCATTTTGCATGTTTCATGAAATACTTGTCAGTTTGTATGTGCATCTACTGAGCGGGGTTCGGTGAGATTATTGCTGTCTCCTGTGCAACTCTGCTGCATTTTGCAAGATATTCTCAATTTCAGACTTCATTATCCTCCCTCTGCTTTCGAACCAAAAAATCTCGATCATTTTATAATGGCTAATACAATCAAGAAAAGAGTTCTTTGTCAGGAACTAGTTATTTTCTCATGATCATCTAAAGTATTTGAAAATTATTTTGCATTTTGTTGATGTATATAGTGCATAAAAATATTTTTTAAGTTCTTAAAAGGTGCATATTTTTTGTTGAAAGATTTGGCTATGCACCCTGTAAAATTTAAAGTTTGTAACTTACACAGAATCTCATTATAAAGACTCTTATTCTACCCGTATCAGCATCCTCTCTTTTTTTTCTTCATAAGTTCTCATTCACGCAATTTAAAACCTTACCCCCCCCCCATATATGTTAAAGAAAAACGCAATTTCGGTTAAACTTCAAGAATAACAATCTATATTAACCTCTGCTAAAATGAATGAACTACTGAAGCATACAAATAAGTATAAAATTGATAATCTAAAAGGTAGTTCTGAAATAGTTAACATTTAAAAGACAGTTGGCTAGAAAATATTCATTTTTTTAAAAAACTTATTTTAAAAAGTAGCCAATTTGTTGCAAATTTTGATTTGTAACAGAATATTTTTTTTTTTTTGCATTGGGATGTATTTTTCCTCTTTTTTAATGCTACAATTAGAACAAATTAATTTTTAAATAGTACGACTTAGATATTTTAAGTCACGCATTTTATTAATAACTTTTTAACATGCTCGATACCATCATAAATCCGTGTTTGAACATTTTTAGTTCATTTATTCATTATTTTCTGTTATTGCAATTGATTTTCTCATAGTTTTTATAATTTCGATATTAGTCCGATATACAAAATTTGAATTATTAATAGCTTATTGTTTTTTCTACAGGTTGTTCTTGATGTAGGGGCAGGATCTGGTATTTTGTCTTTCTTTGCTGCTCAAGCAGGTGCTAGAAAAGTTTATGCAGTTGAAGCTAGTTCAATGGCAAAACACGCTGAAGTAAGTCCCTTCCGTAATATATTTATTTATGTTTTTTTGGTTATTTTGTTTTAATAGACAATAAAGCGTTATATCTGTTCTGAAACTCAAAATAAAAGAAATTGGAATTACTTATCAGTTAACGAATAACAGTATTTCAATGCCTTTGATTGTTTCATAAAGTTGATGGCATTGCTTATATTTTTCAGACTCTTGTTTATCATAATAAATTAGCTGGTCGAGTAGCTGTCATTCCTGGAAAAATTGAGGAAATCACTCTTCCCGAGCAAGTAGATGTCATTATTTCTGAACCAATGGGTTACATGCTTTTTAACGAAAGAATGTTGGAAACTTACTTGCATGCTAAAAAGTGGTTAGCTCCTAATGGTAAGTAGGAGGAATACATAGAAATGTTATTACTCTTTTTTTAGGTAGGGTTGTTTTTTAGAAATGTCATTACAATTATGCAAAATATTAAACTATGTACTTGTCCCGTAGTGGACTGATTGTCCCATCAGATCACCGAAGTCAAGCATCACTGGTTGCGGTCAGTGTGCGGGTGGGTGACCACTTGGATCAGTCTGCGTAGGGACCGAGGGTATGCGGTATGGGTCATCGTTAAAAGTGCTAGACTTCACATGCAGGTCGTCGGGCTACCGAAGCGGGGGTGCCATCCCCTCTGCAGAGGATCAAAATTGTGACGGCATGTCTTAGGATCATCCTCGGGGGTGTTTCCCAGACCGTCACCAACAACCCATTGTGCAGTTCTAGTGCGACGTAACTGAACAACAACAAACTATCTACTTTATCGCTATGTAATTTATCGTATTTGTATAAGTTGTAAATTTTCAACCCTTAAATAGCATTGTGATTCATGTGAGGAGTAAAAAGAATTAATTCAGAGTACAATAGTGACTTCAGGGTGTCATGTTGCTTTTGGTATATTCCCAATAATATTTTTCTCACTATTGATAAACTGTTCCAAAATGTGTATGTTTTCATACACAGTTTTCCTATCTTTATTAAAAACAATAAACTTCATTAACCCCTTGCCAGTGTCACTCGAATCCAGTTCACGCAACTACTGTGTGTAGTATTTGTAATGCATGAACTGACTTCACACAGGAGAATAATTAACGTTTCTATTTTGTGAAGCCTGCACTGCGTTCGTTTCTTCTTTAGGATACATAATTCACTATGTTCCTAATCGATGGCATTGTAGGTCCTATTTTATCACAGATTTTCACACAAGTTTATTGCAATTTGGGCTTGTGTGCAATACCATGTTTTGGGATATACCATACTGTATAAGATTTGTAAAATTTTTGTATTGAAAATCATATTGTGTTTTTATATTATGCTAGTTATATTATATTTAGCTTCAAAATTTTGTTTATTTTGCTCTAATTGAATAGTATGTGTTCGTAATCCATTACTTTTTAATGTGTATGTATAAATTATAAATACAGTAGTTAACTTTTATAATAATATAAAGAACAAAATTAAACTGTCAAAAAAAGTTTCCATATTTGGTCCATTTTTCTGAAATATACGTCACTGTTAAGGTTAAAATATATCTTTTAAGTTTCATGCATGTCTCCTATCAAATAAAAAAAAAATTAATAGTGTAAGTAGAAAAAGAAAATATTGGAGATTTTTATTTAAATATATTTATTATTATTAATGGATGTAGTACATTTTCTAAGAAGGCACTTATAATTTTTAAATTTCAATTTAATCTCAGTGACCATTTTTGTCTGAACGCAAACAAACAAATTCAGGTCTAAGCAGTTTTCTTTCTTTCTTTTTTTTTTTCTATAATATTTTGGCAAATCTTATGTATTTTATTCTTATAAAATTTATCTCTGTAATATAATGTGTTGTAGGTAAAATGTTTCCTTCCCGTGGTGACCTGCACATAGCTCCCTTTAGTGATGCTGCTTTGTATATGGAACAACTAAATAAAGCTAATTTTTGGTAAGTTTATCTTTACATGCCTTTTATCTTTAATTTAAAATATTTTTTCTTTAACTTTTCGTGAATAAAATATTGGTCTTTTTAATTTTGTAGAAACCTATGTACTATGTATTTCACACGATAGGGCGCTCCATTAGATTTGCTGTAGCATATCTAATGGAGCTCCATATCCTGTTGTTTTTATTTAGTGTTACGAAATACCGCTCAAAAAACCAGTGTCTTTTTCCGCGTTAAAGATAAAATTTTCCAAACACTGCTCTCAGTACCAAACAATAGTTTTTCAAATTTGCAGTTATTTAGATCGAATATATATATATTTACACATGTATATTGTATACACAGAGCTCCCACCGATCTGAGAAAATCTGGAATTGTTAGGGAATTTTATTTTGACTTTCAGAAGCAGAAAATAGTCAAGTAAAATTGCATTTCAACAAAAAAACTGGAAAATTCTTACTTTGTACCTGAAAATAACCAAACTTAGAATTGTCAGTAACTGTAATCGAAAGTTTTCCATGTTTCCATCCTCATTTGCTCACAAAATCTAATACTTTACATTACAAATACAAAAGATATAGGTTTTCTCTGGTGTAAAATCGCTATGGTATAGTTAAAATATGATCTGGATTTACATTGAATGTTTCCCGAAATATCTGGTGAGGTAAGGGAATTTTTTGTTTCTGAAATTAAGTGGGAACCCTGTTTAAACAGTTGTAAAACTTGTTGAATAAATTAATTTCCTTTTGTTTTTAACATTTGGATAGCACCTTATTGTATTTTCATCACTTCATTTTTAGGTATCAACAATCATTCCATGGAGTAGACCTAGCTAGTTTGCGTGATGCTGCTGTTAAGGAATATTTTAGACAACCAATAGTGGTAAGTTTTTTTCCCAAAATTAATTGTTCCTTTTTGTGCACAGCTTCTGCTTTTTATATACTTTTATTCCAAGGCTGAATTTAATGGAAGGTTGTGCATAAATTGAAAAGTATTAAATGAAGAGTATGTTATAGATAAAATGAATAAAATATATATATACTTTCAGAAAAACCCAATACTCTTTCCAACCTTTTCTTTTTTAATTTAGTTTTTGCAATTATCAGTCACGCTAGCAATTACAATGGTAGCGCAGAACTTAAATCACCGAGCTCAGCTGTTATTGAGCACTTGTTTTCTGCTTGTGGACTTCTTAGGGTTATATTGCGAAACAGTTTCAATCTCAAGAAAGCTAAAACGTGTGTTAAAGTTTATAGACATTTAAAAAATCAATCAGAACCAGAAGTGACTATTACAGAACTCTAACTAAATGCGGCATTAATTTTATTTTTACTTTACTAATACATTATTAATTACAGAATGTACACTACGAAATTGTCTTACAAAATGAATATTTTTTGATATCATTGAGTTTTTAAAAAAAATCTGATATAGTAAAGAACATAATATGTTATATTTCTGCTGTGTTAAAACATTTGTTATTCTTTGAAATTTAATGCATTTGCATATAGGGACGATTTGAAAAATATACAGTTGAACCTGTTTATCTCGAACCTCTTTATCTCGAAATTTTTCAAATTCCCTACATTTGCCGTCTAAAATAAATGTATTTTCCATGTTTATGTCGATTTTTTTTCTTCAAAACCTCCATTTCTCGAATTTCTAATAATAGAGCACAAATGTCAAAACTTTCCTTATCAGCAGAACTCGTAGACAGAGATGAATTTCGTGAATTCACAGGAAGTATGGATGAACAGGTTGGGGGTGTTTCTTGGAATTTCAATCACTATCCCTGCACTTCCTTAACTAGAAAGGAATACAATGATTCTGGCAGTAAGTGAGGGGTTAATGAGTAGTGACCATCAGGGTTTATCTTTTCAACATAGATAAGAAATCTAAGAATAGAAATTCATTTTGACCTCAAAATTGCAACCAATGGATCAAAGGATAAAGTGAACTGTAGAAAACGATATATGAGGAATTTGCGATCTTTCTAACCTCAAAAGAATAATTGAAGCAAATAAGGTTATCAGTTAAAAATCTTATTTATTTTTTTCAGTGTTAAATGTATGTTAAAAAACTGTTATGTAAATAGATGTATGTGGCATAATTAATTTAAAGAAATGTCTATATTTTTCTACTAAAAACAAAGCACTTTTAATGAAATTTCTTAATTAAATTTAATTTCTTTATAGTACCTGTATAACTTGAAACCTCTTTATCTCGAATTTTTCGCCTTTCCCGTGAGATTCGAGATAAACCGGTTCGACTGTATTAAAAAAATTTTGGTCAACTTTGCGGAAAGTATTTAAGATTATTAGCAGCTTAAAAATAGAATAATTTAAGAAAATATTCAAAACTGTGTGAAATTATAATAATTGTTGTAGTATTAGGGGCAAATAAAAAAGTTTGTAAACCAGGTTTTTTATCATTTCTAAAGAAAACAAAATTCTCCAAAAAATATGGGTGTTATTATAGGTTTTTTGGGCAGGTGGGTGAGTAGACATAATGCCAGTTGTATTTTTTTTATTTCATATTTACAAATTTTCAAAAACTAGAGAATGTCGTATACACACTGTCTTCTAATGTAAAATAGCAATGTTATTTAAGAATGATGAATTATTTTACCTTTGTATTCAAGCTATTTCCTACATTTTATTAATTTTCTGTTTTTGTTTTATTAAGGATACTTTTGATATCAATATTTGTATGGCTAAGTCATTTCGACATACAGTAGACTTTCAGACTGCTCAAGAAACAGATTTGCACAAAATTGAAATTCCTCTGTCTTTCACATTAAACCAAACTGGTGAAATTCATGGACTAGCCTTCTGGTTCGATGTTGCCTTTTTTGGATCAAAGTAAGTATTGTTATTACAGTGAATTCTCTCGGGAGCGACCACTCTCCATTCCACAGTCAAATGGTCGTTGACGGAGGTTGGTCGTCCTTAGAGGTTGCCTCCATTGACCGCAAAATTGTAATCAAAGGCACATGATTTTCCTCTAACGATTTCAATTTTAGTCAGTGCAAATTTCTTGGTGCGAAAATGCCACTTCATGAAATGACGTATCAGTGAATGAAATTTAACGTCTATAAAAATGATTCCAACTGATATAATTATGTGTCAAATTTTCCAATCATGAATGATAAAGCTATTTTAAATGAAGAATAAAATTTTTTAAGTTTGTATTTCATTTTATATCATAAAAATTAGTTAGCTTTAAAAGATAAAGAGGTTTGCTAGAGATGTTTAGTTTTTTCTAAAGTAACTTTTTCTAATTTAATTTCCAACTCTAAAAGTCATTGATAGCATCGTCTTTAGTGCCCCATGGCTGGGACATAAAGTTGTATTGTTTAAAAGTGCTCTCTAAATAAGCGTCTCACATGCATATTTTGACTATATGTTAATCTACATATTTGTTTTGTTAAATGTTTTGTTTTTATAATTTTTTGTGTTTCCTTATTTTACATTTTCCGCATGTGGTGCAGGTATTTGCCCAGTTGTTGGGAGAGGTTTTAATGGTCTCTCGTAAAAGTTTTCTTCAACACAAAGTCTATGAAAAAAATTCTGTGCCTCTCAAAAGTGGTCATGAATGGAGGTGGTCTTTGCATAGTGGTGGTCTCTCCTGGAGGTTTCACTGTATAATAAAAGACAAATAATTATCTTATCTTCACAGTTACCTTTTACCTGTTATAATTTTTTGTATGTATGAAATGGACATTAACATCATGGAGTATTAACACTTCCTAAACCTTTTTCATTTATACCTAAATTTAGTAATTTTGCAATTTAATCGACAAAGAAACTATTTTTTATATATATTTTAAAAAATATTTAATTATATACCTGTTTTACTTAATACAACAAAAGATATTATTTTTACGGTGGAAAATAGTCTCAAAGTAATAATTAAACTGTATTTATTTATTAGTATTTTCCTGAGTTTATAATTTTTTTCTTAATTCAAGGTAGGCTTGAATTAAGAATTCAAGGCTTAATTCAATTCTAGGTAGGCTTGTTCATTGGAATTAATTCATTAAATTTGTGCTTATTTTGTTTCATAAATAATTTTAAACTTTAATCAGTAGTTATAAGTAAATTACTTCAGTATAGTTAGATTTGAAAAAGAAATTGTAGGATTTTATTAAAAATTTTCCCTAAAACTTTCTCTCTTAACATGCACAGGAAAAAACATTTATTATTACAAACTTTCACATAAATTTATTATATTATCTTTATGTACTTGAAATAATAATGTAGTATTTGATTATTACAGTTGAGGATCTTTATAACACATTCTTTGATTTTATGGAATTTTGTGCTATATCAATTATTTTACTCATCGTTAAACTTACTTTACTAAATCTAGCAATATTAGTCTCGAACAGAGAAATAATTTTGAAATTAAGCAAATAATTAGGTAAATGATGTAAAAAGCCAATAGTTCTTTCTTAGTTATCGAAAATGTTAAGAGAAGACCATTGCAGTATGGGATTTAAGTTATCATCCCTGACTCAATGTCGCTCTGTTTTATTTTGTTATCAAATTATACAAATATTTCTTCAAAACAATATAGAAGTAATTAACACGTTAAGCGGAAAATGTAATTTGTGCTATCTTTTACAATCTATGTCAGAAAATTGTTTTTAAAAAAAAGTTATAGTGACATAGTCTTACTGGAATCCTAGACTTGACGACATACTTCAGTGAGTAAGGAGATCAATCATTCTTAGAAAGAAACAACTGTAAGACAATGCAAGAGCATTGAATTTAATTGGACAACTAAAAATAGTGCATCATGTGCCGGCATGTCTTAAAACAAATCAAATGTGAGATAAATTTTTTTTTATCTTTGTTTCGCTGTATAAGAGAATAGCCTGCAAGAAGCAATATTTTTAGATATAATTGTTATTAATTCTTATTTCTTGTTAATTGATTATTCAATAAGTTTTATTTTCCTCATTTCATATGATTTAAAGAAAAGCAAATATAAAGAAACCAGTGCAACGTCGTTTCAAGAGTCGGAGATGCTGATATACGTTCGTGCTGGAAGCTAGATATCCATTTAGTGTGCCAACAGGCTCCCACCATGGGGATAATGATTTTTTTCTTAACTTGCTACAGAGTATAGTGTGGTTTATTGAACTGTGTTATATAGGTCTTCCACTGCATTAACAAATAAGTTAACTTAATGGCATTTAATTCATATTTTTGTTTTCTTTAGTCAAACAGTTTGGCTATCTACTGCGCCAACTCAGCCTCTCACACATTGGTATCAAGTACGTTGTCTTCTAGAAACACCTTTATTTGCACAACGGGGACAAGTTGTCTCTGGTAAAGTGATCCTTAATTCTAATAAAAGGTTAGTTGGATCTAGTTAAATTGTCTCACTTTTTTTGTTTGTTGTGATTTTTGCAAATAATTTTAATTGTAATTAATTATTGGTAATTTTGTTATAATTAATTATTAGGATGTCTTGTAATTAATTTTAAATTGCTCCCATTTTTTCTTTTAATTTCATTGAATATTTATTAAGTTATAGAAAAGGTTTCTAGGTTTAGGAAATTTTACGCTGTTATTAAAATCAATTAAAGCAATTGATACAAGTTAGAAGTTTATTGCTTTAATTTCTGGCATATGGTGTTTAAAAAATACTAGTTTTCTTTCATAAATTGTTGTTGGTCCCCCAAAATTCTCCATTTTATTGCTAAGTAGGAAAAAACTCATGAAATAAACATCTCTAAAGTTATAAAATTTCTTTGGGTTGATTGTATTCTGAGTTTTTTGTATCATTCTTCCGGGTTTAAGAACTAGGAACGGACTGTGTGATTTTTTCGTGAAATTCCACGCATTCCAATAAAATTAGTTAACGGACTTTCCTTGTCCGACCACATTTTCAGAGTTTTGCAATCTAAAATTTAAATTTTGAAACTTTCACTAAATCCTGTTACCGAGATGATACCATATATATGATTCTTCCACCAACTGGCGGAGATTCACCGATTTCGTTCAGTTTGATGGATATTTGCTGTTTAGGATACTTGAAACTGCGCTGGAATCTGCTAAAATTGTGATTGCTTGATTTTAATAGCAAACAATGATTTTCATCTTCACCTGATTTAAAAGTTGCATGTTTTGATCTGTATTTACATTTTAAAAAAAAATCAATAGTGTGATTTGTATTCACACAATTTAAAATCATGTGTAATGATTATATTCATGCGATTTTAAAATCCAATATTGCTACTCTTAAGAAAAAAAATTTCTTCAAACAGTTACTATAAAGGTGTGATATACTTATTGGTAGGTAATTTAATTATAAATCTTAGTTTAAAAAATGATGTTAAGTATGAAACATGTAAGGTATATAGATTGATGTTTTTGCTTTGTGTCATAATCACTTCTATAAAATAATCCTTTAAGTATTTCTTTGGAAACATAAAATGTCAGAAACTGAAAGTGTCTCTTCCGTTATTGTAGGATAGTGTATATATTATAATTATAATTTTCTTATAAAGAAAGTGCTTAAAAATATTTTTTGAGTGCTTAAAAGGTGCTTATTTTTTTGTTGAAAAATTTACTACACACCCTGGTAGGTGGTACTTACCATAATCTGTTCTATATGTACATTTTGGTATATATATTAAATTTTGCTTTTATCTTTTTGTATATTTCTAATAAAAACTTTTAGGCAAAGTTATGATGTAGACATTGACTTAGCAATTGAAGGTAGTAACGTCCGAGCATTTAATACACTTGACCTCAAAAATCCATTTTTCCGATATACTGGCCAACCTCCTCAGCCCCCTCCAGGCTGCAATGAGACAAGTCCGAGTGAAGGCTATTGGCAAACTCTAGATGCCCAGCAAACAGGTATTAAGCTTCTTTGTTACAATATTTCTATCTTTTTTTTGTGAAATTGTAATCAATGTATTAGACTAATTTATGTGCTAATTCCAATCTATATGTTAATAATCTCGATGAAAAAAATTCAAATGAATTAGATCTTATAAGCTCTTTTACATTAAATGTAATTTTTTTTTGATATACAGTACAGAACCCGTTATCCGGAAATCAGAAAACCGGAAAACCAAATAACCGGAACGAAATTCGATACATTTTCCCGACATTTTTGAAAAAACAAATGTTTTTCTCCTCATAAGATTTCAAGATTTTTCTTTCTTTTTTGAAAGATGTTAACCTTACCATCATTTTGGAAACAATCATTAGTGTATTACTTCATCGTTTTTTTCTTCTTTTCAANTGTGAAATTATAATCAATGTATTAGACTAATTTATGTGCTAATTCCAATCTATATGTTAGTAATCTCGATGAAAAAAATTCAAATGAATTAGATCTTATAAGCTCTTTTACATTAAATGTAATTTTTTTTTTATATATATTTAAATTATTAAGTAATTTATGAAAATTGAATTGTTAGTGGTAGAAATTATGAAGTGGTGAAAAATCTTTTAGAAATATCATTAAGTTATAAACATTAAGGAGTCCAATGCTTTTTTATTTTATTAATTTTTTTATAAAGTATTATTCAACTTTTCTCCATGTCTGTAAAAATTAAGTTTTCCAAGATTGCAAACTCGTACATATCAGGCAAAAAAACTCCTCTGACTTATGGCCAAATTGCTGATGTTCTAAATTTTTAAATTTTCTTATTATTTTACTCTCTTTAATAAATATTTATATTAAAATATAACAGTTTGTTGGACTTTAAAGGTACACATACAGGGGAGAGAAAAAATTTAAATAAGTGTTTAAATAATTTAAATGTTTTCTTTTGAGGCAAAATAGTTTCACATGCTTTTTTAGTTTTTCATGTTAAATTGGTAGGTATTTTCAGACATTTTATTCTTTTCCCATTCTTTCATTCTATTCTTTTCCCATTTTTTTCCATGAGGAAATTTTCGATACACATACTATGCTGTACGCGTATCTTATGCTTCCTTAATTTACATTTATTGTTGTAATTTTAACAACAATTGTCTGCTTTGAAAATTTAAATGTTATTTGACTAGCATATTAAGAAGTGTTTTTTTTTTCCTCACAGTAAATAAATTCCATTTAAAATTATTATTTTTGTTTAAAAAAGTACTGTATTAAATAAAAAATTACATGTATTATAAAATAATAAAAAATAGTAACTCGTTAACAAAAAAATATGTTTAGATAACTTTTGCAATTTTTCATTTCTTATTACAGGATGCGTGGCATTTTTAAAAAGTGCTTAAAGGTGCTTATTTTTGATTTGCATTTTTTAAAAGCCCTTAAAGGTGCTTTTTTTTTTTGGATGTTCTTAAAAAGTGTTAAAATTTTCCTTTACCCTGTTGATTTTTGCCACATATTATGCAAAAAGACTCTGTTCATATTGTTCTATTCGACGTTTTCACAATTAATTCGACCCCAAT